CACTATGAGCAGCAGGTCTGGAACCTCTGGGTCATGAGAGACTTGGGGGCGAGGGGGCAGAGGCAGTGACACCCCTGCAAGCTCCTGGGCCACTGGGAAGCTGGCCCACAAGCCAGGACAGTGCTGGGACCCTGGGCACAGCTGCTTTGTTAAAAGCCTCAAGGTTATCGCTGGGGCAGGGTGGGATATTTGTGTGTGTATTTCTGGGCAAGGGGGGATTGGCACTGCTGGAATGTGAATCCTCTATTCCTGCTCTGCTGTGCAGAAGGGAAAAAAGAAGGGGAAGAATCAGAGTGGATGTGCAGGGAGGGCAACAGTTGGCTTGCCTGAGCCCAGAATTTGACATTGGACCTGTTACTTTTGAGGAACGTGGAGGAGAGAGGTTGTGTGAATGTCAGCTCTTGCCTCAGTGTCCTAGGAAAATGTCAGAGCACAGGATGGCAAGGAGCAGTACTTACCCCACAGCTTCAACTCCACCATGCACTCTTTGATCACTTATTATTTTACTATTCCTTCTGCTTCTTGCTGTAATTGTTACAAAATCTCTGTGCTTTGGGAGGGGTCCAGGACTCCAGGGCCCAATTGCATCTGCCCTGATTCAGAAAGTGGGTCATGCTGCTTGGTCTGGGAAGAAGATACTCATCTTGCTTAGCATGATATTTATTAGGAGATAGAGGAGGGAATGCAACCATGCTGTTGCCTAGAAAATTGCTCTGGGGGGATAGCAAAGGACTTGTGAGGGCAGAGCATGTAAAGTTACTGCACGTGCAGTACCTGCTGCAGCCTTGCCGTGTTCCCTGTGCCTGCATTGCCCATTTCCCTCACGCTGGGACCTGCTGAGGGTGGCAGGACAGCGGTGAAGCTGAGGGTGAGGAGGGGATTCGTGGCTGCTCCTTCAGCAGCTGCCAGGCAGCGATGGGCTCTTTACATTTCTTGGAGTAGAGACTGTGAGAGTAGAGAGAGGGGAAGACAGTGTTTAGTTTCTTCTAAAGACATGCTGTTTCACAGTCAGCCTAAACTGGTTGGGGTTTGCTGCTGGACAAGCGACCAGCACCCTCTCCAAATACTTGGCAAGATGTGACATAGTGCTCTGTAAAGGCAAAAACTCTCCTGCAAAAAGCAAGTAGAAAGCCCTGATCAAAAGCCCAGAGTAATTTACTCTGTGCTGTATCTATGTTTAATTAAGCAACAGAGAGAAGGAAACTCGGTACACAAAGCAGATGATGGTGGGCCCAGCATTGTTGGCAGCAGGGTCTCACAGCAGGGACTGCCTGACTTGGGCCAGGGAAGGTGGAGGGGTAGAGGGGAGGTAGGAAAGCACAGCTGATCCTGCCAGGCTGGCTGGGCCTGTGCTGCTGCTTGCTGTGAAATCACCCTCAGGATTATCCAAAGGAAGAACTGGCAACTCAAGTAACTTGGAGGGCCGGATCCTCAACTCATTTAAATTGGCATGACTTCACTAAAGCCACCGAAACTGTACTGATTTTACACCAGGTGAGCATCTGGTGCAGAATCTGCTGAAAGAATAAGACAAAGAGGGCACTGAACAGAGGTTAGGTAGAGCCCACTTACAAGCCTGGGGACTCTTGGGCTGTACTGAGTGGAGGGTGGGTCAGCACATCATTTCCAAATGTCTTGGACAGCTTGGAAGGGCTCTGAATTCTTGTGGCCGTGGCAAATGCCAAAACGCTGCTCCCTCGGGAGGGAGGGGGACCCGCCTCTCTGCCTGCGCCTTGGAGCACGTGTTGTCAGGAACTGGTGAGAGTGTCACCCTGCCAGGGTTTCCTGCTCACTGACACCTGCTGACCTGGCCTGCCATGGACCCTAGGCCCATTCTCATGGCTGCTCTAAACCTGGTGTGTTTTCTCCTGTGCATCCAAAATCTCCGGTGTCCCTTGCAGCACGTAATGCCACTGACAAAGGCTGACCAGCAGCTGTGGCTTCAGCCTCGCACCACTGCCACCGCAAGTTTAATTCTGCCAAGCCTGGGAGATGATGGGAGGAAAGTTCTCACTTTAGCAAAGGACAGGAGCCAGTGTCCATGTCCCAAATCGTGCTCCACAATTGGGCAGAGTTCAGCACACGTCTGCAGAAATTGTTGGTTTCTGGTGTGGCAGGGCAGTTGTTTTCCCAGCTCTGCACCTTGTTCTTAGGTGGGGGTGTTACGGGATGTACACAAGCAGGTATGCTGTCACATGTTTTTAGAGGTTGTTTGCTGAAACACCGGGCTCTTGGGACCTGTTGGGATGCACAGAATTCCCTCCACGCACTCACGTCCGGGGTGGATCTGGATAGAGTTTTAGCAACTCCCACTGAAGCAGCTCAGGGCCGGAAGTGAAGAAGGGATAAAATATCCAGCTGAAACTCCTGTAGGATGTAATTACCTGAGCTGGAAGCTGGCCAGGACAGCAGGCATTGTGCCTCATCTGCTGGTGGTGCCAGAAGCACCCAGCATTGTAGGAGAGGTGGTCAGGAGCGAGGAGTGATGCTCATGGGAGGACAGGAGCGCACCCAGGAGCTGCTGCTGTGGGCATTTGACATAACAGCTCTGGAGTCACTTGTGTTTGTTTCCATGGCTGTTCTCTGAGGTGCCACGGTGCCTATAAAATGCTCTTGGGAAGCTGCAGCCCATGGATGGATAGCCTTATCCTGACACCCATTCAAATGCTTGTACTTTTCAGTTTAAAAAAGAACCTTGAACAAAAAAAATAATAATAAAAAAAAACAAAACAAAAAAACCCACCCCAACAACAAAGCAAACAAAACAAAATAAACAAAAAAAAAAAAAAACAAAAAACCAAAAAAAACCCAAAACCAAAAAAACCAAAAAAAAAAAGGAAATTGACTTCCCAAAAATTACACGAAGCTAGCATTGGAGGCCTGGCACAAATCCATCACAGCCAGGAAACTCACAATTAACCAGTGCACTCCCATGGCTACTAGGAAGGGCAGTATTCCAGCAGGACAGGCCGAAGCTTTCAGAGTTGGGGACTTGGGGATGAAAGTCCGTAAGGTGTCTCTGACGTGCAGCAGGAGGTGTTTTCGTGCACCTCCACCCATGCCAAAGACCACCCCCCTCCTCCAACCCAGCATTAGTTGCAGGGGCAGCTTTATTCTTTGGGGAGAGGGTTAGCAGCAGGCTCCTGATGCTCAGATGTGACAAGTGACACCAGCAGCTGACTGGGGCTCCTTCCCCAGGACTTTTCCCCGTGGGCCCTGTGTTGGTGCAGCAGGGATAGAGCAATGCAGCAGGGACCTGCAGGCTGCTGCTGAGGACGCTGGGGAATTTACACCCTCGCCCAGGTCACAAGTGAGGACAAAGTTGACTCTTCATTCTCACTTGCACATGACGCAGCATCCCATAAATCAGAGTGAGTGACAGCCTTAGCTCGGCTGAGGTGGAAGGGAAGGGAGGAGAGCCGGGTCAGGGCAGGGGGCAGCTCGGGGCTGTGTGAGCAGGGCACAGGAGGAGCCTCCCAGCAGAAACTGCAGCTGGAGTGGGGCTCAGAGGCAGCCTGAGCTGGCAGAGTGGGGTGGAAGGAGACTGGCAAAAAACTGCTGCCTGCTGCTCGCCTTGGGCTGATGCTGTCAGAGCTGAGTGTTTGCGATAGCTCTTTTCACTCATCAGTTTTGGAGAAGCACGGCACGGGCTCCTGTACCTGCAGCTGTGGGGGCTGGCACCAAGAGTGTGTCAAAGGCCAGCCAAGCCTCTGCTGTCCCCGGCTGTCCTGGGCTGCCACCCTGCCTCTGCCATGAGTTTTCACAGCTTTGGGGTACTGCAGACAGCAGACCTCATGACAGAGCATTGATGGTATCTCATTTCAGAGGCTGGGGGAGGTCGGGATGTGTTAAGGCTGAAAATATTTACAGGTTTTGAAGTTGAAACACAAACAGGAAAAGCCCTTTAAAAAGTGAGTGTAGTGGATATTCAAAACAGGAATTGCCATGGAAACGCCACAATATTTGCTTAAATTGACACAAAGGTTGCTGGTTGCAGGGTTCTGACTTCTTTGGCTCCATTTTCTTTGGCCAGACACCTATCACAAGTTGATCTCAACAGCCCTCTTTTGTTTTGCTTCTTTTATTATTGTCTGATGGAAATTTTAAAAAAACCACCAACAACAGAACCCTCCAGTCTACAAATCCCACCTCATAGAAGAGCCTGAAGCTTCTGAGCTTCTGACAAAGGTTAGAGCTGAGACATTTTATAATTTTGGAAGTAAGGTAAAAGTTATTTTATTTTAATCTGTGCATTTGTTCATTTCCTTCAATGCAGGAGTAGAAGGGAATTGTCTTAACTGTCTAGGAAGAGCAGGGTGAAGGGTGAAAACCTGTTGCAAAGGTAGCAGTATAACAGCCAAGGAGCACAGGACTTTTGCAGTCCAGCTCTTAAACCAAAATTTGAGAGATTTAGCTGTAGTTCCCAGTTCTGCCTCAGATTTGCCAAGTGAGCTTTGACAAGTCCCTTAATTACTGTGGGCCTCACTAAACTGCAAATAATAATTCTCCTTTGTCTCATCTGGTTGTATGTGTAACATTTTTGGGCATGAGATTTGATGTGGGGGTGGACAAGGAGTTCTGTGCTTCTGGATTCCCCCCAGAGGAGGGATGGCAGCAGAGCTCACGTGGGCAGGAACGCTTAACTGGCTGCAGATGGAAGCTCTTTGCTCTAAGTGGCTTAGTACTATAGGCTGCTTCTGACCTGGTTTTTTTCTGGGGAAAGTTGGAGTATATGGCCCACCGAATAGTCTGGGTGGTTTGTACCTTGGCTTTTGAGTTGCTAGTACCACGCGTGGCAGACAAGGAGATGGAGATGAGCGTGTTCAGGAGGGCATGAAATGCCTTGCCTTGCCTTGCTGGCCTGTTGTGTGTGACCAAGGGCTCGGGTCTGTGGGTGGCTGCAGCGTTTGAGGCTGGCGTCACTGCTTGTACTTGTGATTCACCTGAGCTTTGGTACTGCTCAGCAGGGAACATTCATTTCCTTTTGGAACTCTCCTCAGGGAAAAGAGACTTCACCAAGTGAAGGGAGGCCATCTAATTCACCCTGTCTTCACCTGAGACCACCTCCAAAACAAAGAACCTGACTTCTGTCCTGGCTTTGTACACTGGAATGGACCTTGAAGCCTGTGACTTCTCAATGCAAGGTACTAGCTTTTGTTCTGTGATCAAACTGCTCTGAAGCAGGACTGGAGTGAGTGATTTGGCTCTCCAGAGCTTTCATTCCAGCTCTTGGGAAATCTCTAGCCTATGAAGTTTAAAAGAGCAGTGGGAACTCAGTGGCTTAGGTGGCAAATGCGTGGTGGGATGTTGGTTTGGGCTGGCTTACAAGTAGGACTGGGTTTACCCCTGCCATCACTCCCACCTGTGTGCAGACACCCAGCTGACACAGCAGGGTGCTGCTTTGAGCAGCTCTTTCTCTTCACCTCCTCTTCCCAGTGAGCTGCTGTGCAGTGTTAACAGTTGGCTAAGGAGTACACGGGAGTCCCCTGGGTAAGTATTGTGTGGGACAGTTTCTGACTGACTTGTTTCACAAAAGGACTTTGAGGATGTCTGTGGTCACGGTGGGTAACTCAGAGCAGTTCTGAGGGGGTGGGACTCTGTTTCTAAAAGCTGTTTTACTTTCTTCTCTGCTTGGCTGCCATCACAGCTGCTCTGCAAAGGTATGACACAACAGTGGGACCATATATTTCTTCTCAATGGGTTGGGGATTTGAGAGGTGCCTGGTGGCAGTGCCATACAGCTGCAGGTGGAAGGGTCTGAGGATCCTTGCTGTGTCTGGCCTGTGTGTGACATCACATGTGCTCTGTAGGGCACAGAGGTATTGTCAGGGGCTATCTCCATACTTTGCTGACATCATTAAATGCTGACAATGCCTGAATGAATGAAGATCAGCAACTGAAGTGCCTGAGGGGATTCTGTAGCATCATCTTCCTCTATTTTTTGCTGCTATGTCATAAATGATACCTGGGCAGAGCAGTGTGTCCAGAGCTGTTGTGAGTCAAGGTGCAGCTGAGCTGGAAGGGTCCAGGCAGAGGGACTGTATAGGTTTAGCAAGAGGGGAGATGAGAATAGTCACAGGACTCAGATATTGGTCTGGGGCTCCAGCAGTCCCTCTCCATTGCTAGCTGTGTGTAGCACAGAGAAATTTACTCATGTTCTGAGTGCCCTAGCCCTGCCTGAAACAGCAACAGCCATGATGCTCTAAGGCTCAGCACATCTAAGTTCTTGCCATGTATTCAGAGCCTACAGACCTGAGTGCTTTCAGTAAGTCTGCCAGTAAAGTATGTGCTTCAGGATGGGATAGGGGTGAGCTGTGCCTTCCCACACCTTCCTAGTGCTGAAACACCTCCAGGGTCTGGCATGCTTTATTTGGAAAGCCTGGTTTTGAACTGGTAATGTAGCAAACTCTGGCCTTTATCCCTGTGTGAGCTGCTCTGGTGCTTGTGTCTCCTTTTAGAGCAATGCCTTTCCAGGCCTCCAGAGGCAAGAGAGCTTCCCAAATAGGAGCTCTGCCTGAGGGAATAAGGTAAAGGAACATGAAGAGCCTTGAGGTTTTACCAAATAAGACACAAATTCTCAGGTTTGACTGCAGCAGGTGAATTTTCCACCAAACACCCTTACGTGCCTCTCCAGAGAGGTGCAACATCCAGGGGGAATAAACTGTGCAGAGGAAGCTGCCTCATAGGTTCTAGGTGATTTTTTCATCACCAAGGAGCTTTTCCTGTGACCCCTATCACAGGTTTCTGCTTGTGTAGTTCCTGATATTGAAAACCCTACATTGTCCATCTGGTCTGGACTTGGGATGAGCAGAACCTCTGAGACAAGAAGGTAAGAGGAGGAGACTGATACATCAGGAATACTTTAAATGCTGAAGTGATGCTTGTGGTTCAGACTCTTGCAAATCAGTTATCCTTTTCCACATTGGTCTCCTCCCAGTACCTACTGGGTGCATTGCTGAGCATCCTTCAGGGGCTGCTTCCTGAGGGATAGTAGCCCATTAGTGACACCAGAAATATTTCCCTGGACTCCAGCTGTTTTCTGAGGTCCCCGTGGTTCTACAAACATCACTGCAGTGGAGGAGATGCACTTAGCCTTTCAGGCATGTGGCTTTGTGATCTCTCATGCTCTGGACTAGAAATCCCTGTGTTCCAGTCTTCTGCCCTAGAGCAAGTTGTATGGCTTCTACTTTCAAAACAAGCTCAATTTACTTTGGGCTACAGAGGCTGTTTGCACGTTCTCCAGAGCCCATCCCTAGGCTGTGATTGCTTTTTCACTGTTTATAAGCACAAGCTGACTGTTTAGTCCTAGAGCTATAAGGGTTGGAGGGAGTTTTCTTGTTCAGTTAATGAAGGTAGACTTGTATGCGGGGAGGAAAAACTAAAAAAAGTGTAGGAAAGGGATTAGAAATATCTGCTCTGTCTGTGTTTGAATTTGCAAAATATTCCCCCCCATTTAAATCCTAAAGTGAAGCTAAATTTGTGGGTTAGCTTGGACTGATGGAGTTATTTTTGCTGGGATCCTTGGGATTACTGCATGGGCACAGCTGCAAACGTGATGAGATGGGAACACTGCCTTCCACAGAAGTGCAGCTGGGCCAGCCCAACCAGCCCTGACGGCTCAGATCCTGAGCTGGGCTGGGGAATATGAAACAGCCTTGCAAAATCATTGTGGAAATTTACCCACCTGTGTATGAAATCGACTTGCCTACCTTTGCCAGGAGGAGTTTAACTTGCCCATTAAAATACACATCTATTTATGTATTACATGTTCTGTGAGAGGAGTTTTTCCCAGGCAGTTACAAAACTCCGTCTAGACTGTAAAGTGTGGCATCTGGTGGTAACATGCCATATACATATATCTGAATACAGTATCTCCTGTATCACCCTGCTCGGAGTTAATAGCACCTCTCTGGATTACAGCAAGGCCTTTCCCTTTGCAGCACGCTATCCTTGGATAAACGCTTGGCCTGGCTCCTGCCAGCGCTGCTCTGAAGGAGTGGGGCTCTGCCCTGCTCCTGCCACCCGGCTACAGCCAGGCAGGCATTTCCATGCTGCTTGTCCTGACCTGTGGCCCCACAGTTCAGGTAGGCTGGAGGCAGCAGTTCCCAGGCAGAGCTCTTCCAGCAGGGCTGGGTAGAGGGGAGGGAAGATGTTAAAAGCCTGTCTGGGTAAGAACAGGGTTGTCACATCCATCTGCTCAGGCCCTGACGAGCAGCTGATCCATATTGTTAACATATTGCCTGCCATATGGGCTAGCTCAGCTCTTCAGGAACGCTTGGGAGACCTGACCTCTAGTGTGACAAGATGTGAGCATGAAGGACGGGTTGACAACAGCCCTTGGGTCTTGGAGTGTGAAACCATGTTTCAGCCCCTTGCGCTGCCTTCCCCTGCACTTACTGCCGCGCTGCCTCTGCCTGCCTCACTCCCTCTCTTCTGTCTGAGGATTTTTTTCCCCCTCCCTCCCTCCCCTGTTTTCTGCATCCCTGGTCTGTGCTAGATCAATGACCTTCACTCATAACCAGACTGGACAGTTCTGACTCCCTCCCCCGGGCCTTCGATCAGATGTTGAGTTGGAAAGCTGAATGGGGGGAAGTCAAAGGAGGGGAAGGAGATCATGTGCTTGGCAGGCCTTGTAGCTGTCCTTACCATGTCTGGTCTGGGAGTGGGACTGAAGACTGATCCACTGAGGTCCTTAGCACCTCCTGCTCACTTGGATAACAGTGGATGCTCATGTAACCTTTTGATGGAGGGTGAAGTCCAGCAATGGGGTCTAAGCAGGTTGAAAGGTCTCAGATGTTCAGAAAAGGGCCTTGATGCCAGAGTTCAGGGAGAGAACACTTAAAAGGCTCTTGAGAAACATGGAATGAGCCAGTTTAACAATAAAGGTAAGGGCAGCCCAAAGCCCTTCCAGAAGGCCTGCAGTGCCCAGCAGCTGGTGATTTTGCAGCTACTCGTGAGAGGGAATAGTTGTTAGAGGGACAAAAGCTGAGAGGTGTTCTGGCAGTGAGGAAGTTGGCTGAACAGGATCCCTCCCAGTGCTGCACGAGGCCTGACTGCAGAGCCTGTGGTGCACTTAGGTGTGTGGATATATGGAGCAGCTTAGCTCTAAAGAAGCCCAGGGCTTCAGTGGAGGCTGGCAGTTGCCTGGGTGGCTGTCACACTGGAGACCAGCCTGCCCCAAAACCTCAGATGGATAAAGGGATGTTCAGTAGTGCAGGAGACAGGACTGAGCCAGACCTTCATGGGTTCAGACCTCGCTTTCCCTGTCACCTTCAGTTGTTTTTTTTGAATTCGTGATGTCCTCAGTCTCCTGGAACTGCTGCTTATGAAGTTGGCTATCTCCTTCCTAAGGCTTCTGTCTTCACAGTTGAGACTTATAGAGGTTAAATCCTGGTCTAGGGAAGAAAGCCCCAGTTTTACTGTAAACTTCAGTGGCATTGGGATTTCAGCCTTGGCTCCTCAGAAGGGGATTAGGATGTTTCCCAATATTTTTTACCCATCAGCTTTGTCAGACCTACAGGCATGACTCATTCGCATTTTAGTGTCCCCACATAAGGGTTGCCTTAATTTTACATGTCTGTCCTATGAAAATCATTATCCTCCAAAAAGCTGAGATTTTGGCCTGCTCTTCATAAAGATTTTAGACCAGTTTAGATGGTCATTTCATTTCTCTCCTTCCCTATATACCTGCAATTGCACTGATCCTTAATAGTGTTTATTTGTAAAGAGGAGCCCACTGAAATATTGCAAAATAAAACACAGTGATGAGTCGTGGTTTATTTACTCAGCTTAACTGATGCAACAAACCTGATTTTATGTTAATAATGACTCAGAAGCAGAGTTGGGAGGAGAAGCCAGATCTTCTGATTCCTTTAACCATCCAGCAGCAGTTTTCTGAGCTGGGATACAGGCAGTAGCTCTGTGGCACCCTCATGAAACAGCTGGGTGAAAAAATAATAATAGTGCTTTGCGAGTTTGCAGGGCTCCATTAACATTTAGGAGCACATTCAGCTCTGGTAGGCACTGCATATACACCGTCTGTTTGTCTGTCTGTCTGTCAGGCAGCTCTCCAGCCAGCAGGGACGCTGACCTGCAGAGTTCCTCAAGGAAAACCAGTTGGAAAGCACTTGGAGCAATCAGTGCTA